TCACTCTTTGAGTTTCCATTCATTCTTATTTTTATGTTTTCAGCTTACCTAATATGTTTAGAAGGTTACACTCTATGGCTTTTTTTTTTGGAGCGGTCATATTTTGCATGCAGTTATTTAACTAAAGTTATGCCTTGTTGTAATTAGCGATAATGTTACGGGTAAAGATTTCATTTTTTTCTTCCACCTTAATCCTATTTCTTCCCTTTTGTGCCATTGCTGCCCATTTTTCTTTGAGAACTATGTAAACTAATTGTTTTTCCATTCTTTCGCAGGTATCCATGAAGTAAGTGTCCAAGTTTGGAAGTAAAGCTGCTGTATTGTTCATTTTGTAACAATCATAGCATCCGGATTAGGAAGGTTCTTTCTATTTCAAATATTCCTTTGAATTAGCACACCTAATTCATGTGACATTTATGGTGCAGGAAATGTTAAAGGATGTTAGTCAGAACTAAGACATACCAAAATGTCGTATATAAGAACTCCTTTCTTATAAAGGATAAAATAGTTCTTGATGTGGGCGCTGGAACGGGGATCTTCTCACTATTTTGTGCAAAAGTTGGGGCTAAGCATGTCTATGCAGTAAGTAGTCATTTATGTTGTTGTTCACCCTTCTTTCTGATACAGAACATGTGGTTCCTCTTTTTTTGATTATGTAGGTGTCCTTGTTCTTCATTTCTTCGTGTAAAGCAATACATTTATTCTATTTTCTTAATTTTTTACATTTAAACATCAGAAAACAGAGGAAAGAGAGGGAGGGGGAGGGTGTAGTCCCTGTTTTCATGACTTCACTTGTTTTGACAAAGAGAATTCCGTATCAATCATTCTATATGCCGACTCATGATGTTCTAATAAAAAATGATTTGACTTCTAAATTTCCATTTTTCATCCTTCTTCACTGATTGGAAAACAGACAAAAAATAAAAACTGAAACAGGGAATGCCCCTTTTAGGACAAATTTTGTTCTCATCAATAACAGTGTGCATGGACCAAATCAATTACTGAACTTTATAAGCCTACACAAAATAGTTCGATTGATCAAATATCTTCTACTTGGCTTCGACGTGTGGATTTGGATGTTTCATTACTGTTCATTTAACTTGCAGGTGGAATGCTCCCGCAGGCTGATACAGCTCAGGAAATTATCAGTAAAAATGGATTTTCAAATGGTAGGTATTTTGTGGCCCAAAGATACAAAATCTGCAAGTCACATGTGTTATTAACTTTACCTTTTGATTCATCTTACCGCTAACATGCCCCCACCCCTCTCCAAAATAAATTGGAAAGAAAAGATATATACAAGAACTGTTAAAATTATTGAGTCTACAAACTTATAGAAGATGTAATCAGCAGGCCTGCACTTTTGGATGGTGAAAACAGTGAGGCACCAAAGAGTGAATGCCATGAGACAATCTATGGTGGTGATGATGATGGTGGTATTTTCCGGCAACTGTTGGTCGATCGGCTTTGTTGACAAATGGATGATCGAGAAGCATATCGGGTTTCCACCTTGCCGTCGGATCT